TCTTTGTTGCTTCCATTTTTAGGGCAACATTCAGAAAGCAATCAGTTTTTTGAGAGGTTAATGATGAGTGAAGATAACATTTAAAAGCAGTTTCCATCCATTAAAATAGTCAATGTAAAAATAAACTGGTTTGAGTGTGTGTGATGTAAAAAACTTGTGGACAAACTGTAATTAGCTTCAACTGACAGAAAAATGGGAAAATATCCACAAACCAATAATGCTGTGATCTTAACATTTACTAATGCCTAAAAAGATGTCTCTAAAGTTCTGCCTCTCTCTTTGTGGACCTATGACAGCTTTTGAAAAATTAAACAATGCGGAAATGGAGAGAAAAACATAGATTATTGTTTGGTTCTCTAAGTAAGCCATAGTCCTCATAAAGTGTTCCTTGAAAGCCTAACTTGCAGACACAACTGATGAAACCCTGGAAATTTTTAGCCATTAAAAGTTTTTATAGTAAACGTTTTTCATAAAGATTTGGAGAGAAGCCGAAGTACACTGAAAGATAAAAAAAAGCACAAAGTAAAACTCCAGAGGGTTTTTGCATGATAAGGGAAGTAATTTTTAAAAAAACTGCAGGAGAACACGCTTTCTTCAGCATTTAAAAGCTTAGAAGATTCATACTTTTTTTACAGTATTTTGGCAGACAACATCTATACTATTAACAAATACCTTAGTTTACTGGAAAAGAACACTGAGTGACAGCAAACACAACAGTATTGATGGAATAGCATACAACTGGATGCATATGAAGAGGCATTGCCTTTGATCTGTTCTTTGCTACGAAGGATGACAGGGAGTTGTTATCCCAAAAGCACTTTGCACAGGAAATAGGATGTGGCTGTAACAGATATTAATCTCCCAGGAGAAAGCTAAGGAGGAATTCAAGCATGGTAAATTGCAGTGACCGAACAGTATTCGGCTACAGTAGGTGTCTGGAGATTGTGATACTACTTACACTCATCCCTGTGCAAAGCCCTAATTTCTACTTTACCTCTGACTTAGGGGTCTTAAAGAGATTCCTGGAAAAGAAAGCTCTCAAGGCTTCTAGAGGTACTTAGCAAACACATAGGCATAGCATGGCACAGCTGTATCTTATATTTGTAACTTATTTTATGTGCATTAAGTGCTAAGTAGAAATTCTTGTGAACTAAAATGCAACTAATATTTAAGTTCACCGAAAATGCTTTATTTTACCAGTAGCCATAACACCATCAACTGAAAAGCAGTTTGTCCTGTTCAAAGGCCCAACAAGAGCCCATCAACTTTTGCAGTGTTGTTGAGCCACTCCACAGTGCTCTCCTTATTGAAAAAAAAGAGTACAGAGACCATATTGCAATCAATATCAAGTGATTCCAGAACTTTTGCCTTTGTACTGCATCTCTGCACTCGCTAATGACTTTCATATTATCATCAGCATGGTCTCAGGAAGTTTACATGCCAGGGCTAATTAACTAGGATGGTTTGTCTTCTCTTATTAATCCCCTAAGTACTGCAAACCCATTCCCCTTTAAGCAGAAGCAGCTGTGACCAACATGGCATCAGAGATGCAAACCCAACATTTTACTGGGAAGTACTTGCTACCACATTTCCGAGAGAATAATTAAAGTAACTGTTGCTGTAATTCCAGTAATAAGGTTAAAATATGTTGCTACAGTTTCATTTCCCAAAACCCCATTCAGATGATTTGTGAATGTACCTGTGGCAGCCTGTCACGCCCAATGTTGCTCTAGAAATTGCTGCCTTCCACATGTGAAGATACTTTCCAAGTCTATAATTTGCAATACACTCTACCTAGATGCCAAAAATTTTCTGAAGAACCAAGCCGTTGGCTTCTAACTGTATCAGTATTGCTGCTCTTTTATTTTTTTTGTTTACTGAAACATTTCTTTTGTTAGATCTTTGTTTTGCATACTAAAGCAAATGTCAAGTAAAGTAGCCTATTTTCCATAGGGAGATTATAATTCACTTATTCTTATTTCTTGAAGGGAAATAGTATAGGAAAAAAAAAAAAACAACAACAACAAAAAAACAAACAAACAAACAAAAAACCCCAAAAAAACAAAGAGGCATTTAATGTTTGCATACCAGTTCAACACATTTTTTTTTTTTAAATTTGTAATTTTGGCTTGCTTGTAAAATGACCATTTCAAAACCAGGGTTATCTAAACTACATTCATATTATTGAAATAGTTTTGATTGTTGAATTAACCTGTTCTACACTTGCTGTTTACTGCAAAATCCCTCATGGACTAGAACCTGACAGCTGGTTTTCAGCCTGTAGAAACATCATGTGGGTCACGACTAGTGTGTTTCTTCACATTAATTGAGGTCTAGTAGTTCACCAGCTACATCACTGAAGCATTTTTTACATACATGACTTCCTGAGCCCTGGGCCACAGCTGATTTTCTGAATCCTCTCTAAATGCCCAGATTAATCTTTTGAAGCTTTGGCCAATTTCTTCGAAGCGGATTTACCTCCTGGGGTAGGAGCACACAAGCTCTTGTGGGTGTGAGTTACAGCTCAGACAGCTCCACATGAGGTTCATTCCACACAATTTAAGAGTGAGGCAAACAGTGCTTTGCTGTGAGAGTGGGACAGATCCTTAAGTGTATCTCTAAGACAATTCTTAATAGAGCTAATTGATATCATTTAATTCAGTCTCTCTGACAAATGTGGTACTCAAAATGCATTTTTTTATATATATAAATTCAATGAAATCACAGAATTCTTTAAGAACAAAACAGAACATTTTAGTGAAGTACCTTCCACTTTTTTCCCACAGGCATTCTGGTTAGCAAAAACAACTACTTGCTAGTATAATTCACATCTGCTGCATGGTTACAATTATGACCAACAGAACATGAAGTTCTGATTTAAAAACATATGATATTTTATGTCTGATTTACTAATCAGACCTTGAAATGAGCTAACAGTTGGTTGATAGCCCATCCTCTACCCCTGCACACAAACACTCATCTTTTAAATCTGAATAATTACAGGGTGTTTTTCCTTAACTTCTGCAAAAGCAATGGAAAGAGGTACCTCATTCAGTACAGAAAATCAGTCTATAGTCCATTTTAACTTCTGTTGTCTGAGAAAAACTCTATTTGAAACAGCAGGGATAGAAGTAAACAGACTCTGCACGTTATGTTTATCAAGTGAAGTTACTTCCTATTAATTTTACCCATTTATCAGGAATTTTTAAATTTCCATTTATGTATTTTCAGGTAATAAAATGTATCACTTCTGGTAAGCTAACACAGCTATCATACTTTGCCATGCTACTGCTGTAGCAATCCTTAGCACGTGTGATGCTCTGAGGGCATAAAGATAACTTCGTTCTTGTTCCCCGGCAGCAGACAAAGGTTCCTGCTCCTGAGCCGGGGAGACACAATGGGTACACAGAGCCCAGCTCCTGCAGGGCCTCCCTTAGTATTAAGACAAATTCTGTTCAGGAGATGCAGTCTCTCCAGGCACTGTATATTGACTGAATTGATAAAAATACATGAGAAATGGTTCTGGTGGAGAAGGAAGAAGTAGGAACTGCTATTTTTACTTCAGTCAGTCTGGGTTTTCTGGTTATTGCTAAACTGCATGAGCTCTATTCTACCAGCCTGGTTTTCCTCTTTAAAGGAGTGTCACAACTAGCAAAAGTTTAGGAAAATTACATCACGGCAAGGACTCTATCTCCTCATAAGAAAAATAATTCCCATTTCCTCTCTTACTCTCCCAGTAGCCAAAAGGCTACCTCAGAGATATGGCCACTGTCCCTGAGATATTGAACTAACAATGCTCTTTACTACAGCACCTCCAACAGAAGTCAATACTGTCTTTTGCATATGTGTAGTCTACAGATATTTTACATATATTTTCACAGATTAGTATGTCTCAGCTCTGTGTGCCACATTTAATAACGCAAAACTGATGCAAACACAAGACATAATGATGTAATATTAAACACTAGATTTAAATTCACAGAAGCAGGAATGCTGACAACATAGTTCAAACTTCCAATTGCTTAATGTGCATTTTGATATTGCATGAGCTTTTAAGGAGGGAATAAGTGGGTTATATATCTTGGATGCAGGCCGTTTCAAAGATGTTCTGTCAGGATAAACTTTAGAACTACAATGGAATGACACAAACCAGAAAAACCCAGACTCTGACACTTCTAATTGCTGGAGAGTTCACACCAAACTTCTATTATTCTACTTATGAGGTTTGGGCAATTCAATAATTGGAACAGTAGCTATTTTCTGTTATATTTAGTTAAAATATACTATTTGTTGCATAACAATTTTCAAGAATTGTCAAAGCAAAGTAGTACAGTTATCATCTACACGTCCCACCTATCACAGACAGGACTGCTACAAGGGCCTCTTATAAAAGCTTCCCAATGCCTCCCTTTATAAGACTGTGTTTTACTGTACTTGCAGCTACCCAGTTTTGAGGTTCAAATGGAATTTCCTACATCAAGTATCATTTATGCATCACTTCGTGGGAAGGTTAATTCAGAATAGCTCAATCAGTCCATAGATAAGATTAAGGGAAAGCATGGGTTTCAGTGTAATACAGTTGTCTAAAGAAGAAGTTGTTAAGCTTGAAAAGGCAACATTAAATCTTTAGCCAAGAAAAACTAAAATTGAAGTCATTATTACAATTATTACAATTTTAGAGTCAATTATACAGTCAAGCAGTCAGGTTGGGAAACACTAGAATTAAAAGCTAATATTTACCAAAAAATTTAGAAGCAGAAGACAGTGTGTAGTTTTCATGAAACTGTCACAACAATAGTGATAGGTAACAGCAAACGGCTTTGTAAACACTTTCAAAATATCTCACTGAAAACAGTAAGATACAGGCTTCGAAGAAACTTAGGGAAATGAAACTGGGGATATTCTTCACCAAAGAAGTCTAGAAATTTCAGTCTAGTCAGCAACTTAATACTACATTTATAATGGCAAGAGTCAAAGTAGGAATAAAGCAACAACCCATGTCAAGAAAACAAAAAGCCATACAAGTTTTATTTATTTTATTTAGAAGTAAAATAAAATGTGACATTTCCATCTAGAAGCCACTGGCAGATGCTGTGGTAAATTCAAACATGGAGAGTGGGTTTAGCTTTCAGATTCCTCCCAAATTCAACTTCTTCCTTTTGCACCAGAGCTTTGTGCAAGCTCTGATACACCTGAGGATACATCTGTTTAAGGCAGCCGCTGGAGTTCAAACTTATCAGCAGATGGTGCTTCAAAAACATCATCTTCCACACTTTCTTCTATTGGCTTCATCTTTGCTGAAGTTCTCAGGTAGGGAGATGTTCGGCCTGGGCCTGTCACAGTTACAAAGAAATTACCGATTAGTTTAACAACACATGCCTGCTAGGTATGCCTATTTGTGACAAATTGTACACCATCTGATGATCCCGACCTAGTTGCCTCATGAGAGGATTTTATAAGCGAAGGTTTTCTTGTTACCTCGCCATAGGCACCAGGAAATTTTAGACATGGGACAGCCACACAGCTATGAACCAGCAACATCTCTAAGGTTCAAACCCTGTTGTTAACCACAGACACGGTATTCTCCCCAAATTCAGTGCAAACCCTGACCGAGCAAGGTGCCCACCACTTGTGCCCCTGGTGGTCGTTTTCTCACCATGACACTCACCCACTAACTCGACTCCATTCGATTACAGCAACATGGATGGCTGCCCTAGGCTGCACAAAAGGTGGGTACATTTGCACACTTGCTTGGTTGGGCAAAAATTCCTCAGCGTATTGGGCAAACCTCAGGTGGGCATATGACACAAGCCCTAACTTTGCTGTTAAAGTATAAAATCATAGAATACCCTGAGTTGTAAGGGACCCAACAGGATCGAAGTCCAGCTCCTGGCCCTGCACAGGACACCCCCAAGAATCCCACTACGTGCCTGAGAGCATTGTCTAAATACTTCTTGAACTCTGCCAGGTTTGGTGCTGTGACCACTTCTCTGGGGAACCTGCTACAGTGCCCAAACACCCTCTGGGTGAAGAACGTTTACCTACTGTCCAACCTAAACCTCCCCTGACACAGCTTCATAACTTTAACACAGCATAGTAATATAAAACTTATAGATGATTTATAGCCCCCTAAACACAGAGAAAACAAGATTAACAGGCAAAAGCCACATAACTTTTGACTGATGATGATTTCACTGCAACAAAACTACCTTTTAGAAAAGCAGCAGCTTGTCTGCCAGAGCAGAGCACACACCACAGCTATAAATGACAAGACATTAAATGGAGTTCTTGTGCAAATTACCACTGCAAACTACCTCTGTTGCAGTTAAATTTTCAGCATGAGGGTCAAACCAAAGAACCTCTTTGACATCGGCTGAACAGTTTTGTTTTCCATTGTTCACTCTGAAATTGCATCTGCACTTGGACATGTTATTCTCTCAGTACCCTCTTCTAGAGTTAGACCACTACAATGGTGCAAGGCTGTAAACAGCTAGGATATGATGATCAAAAAGATTATGGGAAACTTCAAAATACCATTTGAGAAGAAAAGAGCATAAGACAGTCTGTCAGCAGGATCGCTGTTAGCATAGAAGCTAAAAATTCAAATATTCTTGAAAAAAAATACTGAGAGCCATAGCACAGGCTTGTTTTTAAAAAAGTTTATCACATATACAGTAAAGTGCTGTGTTAAGGAAGTCTATTTATGAGGAAGGACTTGTTTGCAATGTATGTGTTATACACAGAGAACAAAATACAGCTACAGGCAAGACCAGCGGGTTATTGTATAACTGCATTTTTAAATCACATTCACAAAGACACTGTTTGGAATTAGCTTTTTGGAAGTTTTTATGTTAAAAATTTATTAGCATTTTCTTTTGACATTTAAAAATTACTGCCATGATACATAGTTACTCAAACACATTTTTAAGTACTGGAATTGTTAAACACTTCTTTTCATACAGATAGGTTTTTATGGCCTAAGCAAAGGATAACTACATCCAAAGTTTCTGGGTACACTTGGATATAAAATAGACTTTTCAGGGAGACACCAACAAATTACACTCAAAGGTAAAAGTGTGCCTGACAATGCTGAGTTAGCTTCAGCTTTTTTTTCTTTTTTTCTTTTTAGAGTATAGTTTATTACTATATTTAGAATGGTTTTCTTTTATTTAGAAGTACTTAGTTCTCTCCAGAAATCAGAAGCCATAAGTCTGTTTAATAAGATATAAGATCTAATTCTCTCATCCTGTTTGTTTCAAAGACATGCTCTTTTTTGCTCTAAATACACAACTGTCTACTGATGCTTCTATCCAGTGTTGGACAGATGTTCAAGTAACTGAGTCAGACCTTCCATCCACTACATTCTGTTGCCCTTTCTTGAGGGCCTAAGCCAAAATACATATTAGAATTTCCATGAAACCAAGTCCTGCTTTTAACCACAAGCTGGGTATAACGTAAGGAGCATATAATTTGATAACACCACTAAAAGCATTACCAAACCAAAACCTTTCTACATTCCTGCTTAGAAGTTAGCAAATACAGACTTGTAGACCAGTAAATCTGAACTATTCAAACTAAGTACTCCGGAAAGAGACTGTATCACTAGTAAGTATGTGAATGACTACCAAGCAATAGAATCATGGAATAGAAACTAATACCAAAATATTTTTAAAGGACTGAAAGTCAAGTGAAATTATGCTTGTGATCAGGTTGAACTATTTTTGTTTAACCCAAATTTTGGAAAAAGAGATACATCTATTTCACTTACTAATGAGTTACATACAGATGGATCATGGATGTCAAGCACAAGTGTCACATGATAAAAAAATCCCACTTTAATACCTTTTTGAGGATGCCTGCTGAGTTAATGTGATGTTATCAACAGAAAACATCATGCTGCAAACGACTCACTCCGTAAGCATTATAGAACTCTTGTTGGTTATTTCCTTAATATAAAAGCAAACAGTTAGTTGGGTTTCTTAGTTAATTAAATTCAAAACAGTTTTGTTAGTAATCATAGTTTGGGACCTACTAATGAGTATTTTTAATCCTTTCACTACTAAACACTTTGAGAATAGCTTTATATCAATTTCCTGAGAAAATGAGCCAAAGCTTATTGTTTGTAGCACTGATAAAAGAATAACTTTAGAAGTTGGGATTATACAAAAACACAAATGCTTGTTTTTCAAGAATATGGAAATAAGGAGAAGAAAACTTATTTATACTGCACTAGTAAAATATCATACTTGTAATGGGAAGCTTTTGTCATTGCTAGGTGATTGTTGTGTAGACAAAACAGTATTCCTGTAGAGCTCCTGTACAAAAGAAAAAGTTTGTAATTTCCAATGTTTCCAATGTAATTTCCAAATGTTTCTCACAAAATCTTCTGAGGATTTTGGATTGTGTTTGTTTGTTTTAAATAAACAAGTGTATGATTGTAGAAGGGAGACCAAGGGAACAGCACTAGGACTGTAACCCTCAGCATGTGCCTTATGCTGAAACTAAAAAAAAAAAAAAAAAAAAAAAAAAAAAAAAAAAAAAAAAAAAA